GTGATGATGATGATGATGATGATGATGATGATGATGATAGTGGTGCTGGTGCTGGTGCTGGTGCTGGTAGTGATGGTGATGGTAATTTAAAGCAAATATATTATGCAAGCACATCGTTTTAAAACCCTTTGTATATTAACAGTTGCAAGCAGGCCCTAGAAAATCCCATCCTGGCGAAAAGGTGCTAAGAAGAAGAGAAGCCCTGGAAGAGTATAGTCTCGCACACAAATGAGAGCAGTTGATATTAGATTTTCAGACAAACCACAAGCTTTGTCACATGAATAGGTACAAATACAAGCAGCAGCCTTTTGCTTCAGCGCGTTCCCATACAAGAAATTATATCTTGTAAAATCCAAGTTGTAATGCGAGCACCGTCACAGACTGGAACTAAAAGGCTTAAAGTCCTCCTTTTGGAACCTGCTAGACCAACAAGGCATGTACGAGAAGTACGTCAGTGGGCTCCATTTTCTCAGGGGCAACAAGCGGGGCCCAATAAAGTCTCACGAGAAACCCCTTTTAAACTCATTTTATAATGAGGACTCAAGAACATCGCCCCCTCCCAGAATAAGGTGATGAGGTGATTATGTCAAGCCTGAAGTCCCTTTTGGAAGTAGGCTTTTAAATGTCGAATGACGGTTCGAAACAGCTTTTGGATTCTACAAAGTACTGCAAACACACAATATTGTTAGAAGCATTCTTAAACAAAGTAGGAAACCCAGCAACCATGGAAGAAAACACAAATATCCTACAACAGGGAAAAACAAATAGCGCCTACTTAGGAAGATAAACAACGTCACATTCAAGAAACAGTACAGTTTAAGAGACTGCACCCATAAAGATGTGAGACCCACCCGGGTCAGAGGTACTCGACCACGATAGATCGCCAAGAAGTACCCTGTAGCGATGCCAACCACAAAAGGTCCAATGCGGCACCACGGGGCGAAGTAGTAGTCTTTCAAGTAATCCATTAAGTGCTCACTGAGGAGATGCAAATATTTCAGGTGGAGGGTCTAGAAGTGAAATTGGCAGAAGTCTTGGTGAAACCTGCTTTTTCCGAAATTTATTCTTGAACTACCCCGCACATCCAGACTCTCTTCTTTCTCTCTAAAAGTGTGTGTGAGCGCGGTGTGAGGTTGGAGGGGGGG